CCCACAATGGATCCACAAGCCACGCATTTGGAGAATGTTTTAGTTCATTTTCTTGGCACTTGGTAAAACGGGCCCATGCGCTCGGACGAGGCTTGACCGAGCCCACCGGCTCTTCCCATTCATTACCGAGCTAGGCTGCTCAGCCCTTCCATGGACGAGCCTAGCTACATGCTCGGCTAATTGGTGGCTGAGCTCATCAACTTAGGGCGTTTTGGCCCACTATGGAGACATCGGCCACATTTATGATTTTTAATTGTTCTGGTGGCCTTTGATTTTATTACTCGTTTTTTTTTTTTATCAAATTGTGAGTTTTTTTTATTGAGCTTGCCACTTCATAGATATTTGTGTGTTGATAAAAAAGCTATATTGGGTTTTTTTCGTAAGGGAGAAGCTTGAAAACTGGACTAAACACAAGTTTTGGTAAACCAGTATAAAATTACCACAATCTAGTACCACATGCGACCGACAATCATTTGTATATATCGTTTCTTTGACTCGTTATTAATAAACTGCCTAAAATAGGGTTAGGGGAGCCATTGAATGCAATGTAACAATTTTATTTCTCATTGGGTTCAGATCAAATTGAACCAGATTTGATAGATAAAAAACAAATGTAAAAAACAAGGAGAACGAACATTATGTTTGGTTCAAGGAATTTGGAAGGAAAAGTAAAGAAAATGGTTTTCTCTCATTTTCCTCACCAAAATGGGAGGAATTTGGTTTTCCTGGTATATTTTTTGTCTTCTCATTTTCTTTTCCTTCCGCTTTTTCTTTCTTTTCCCCTCTAACCAAACAAGAAAAAATATTTTCCACTTCTTTTTTTTTTTTTCCATTCAAATTCCTTGAACCAAACATAGTGTAAATGAGATGAGTGGAATAGAAAGCCATGGACCATGGTGCACACGCTCCTGGGTTGGGATGTGGGGGAAGAAAAGGACGGAAGAGACGCGGGGGGGCAAAAAAGTCAAAACAAAGGGGAAGTCGAATCACGTGAGATTCGTCCAGGCTGGTGGGAGGGGTCCACGGAGGGAGGACTCGTTGAAGTAATCCGTAAACGGGCTAAAAAAGGTGGGCCATACAATCAGCTGCCCACTATAGTTTGCATTGTTTTGGTTTGGTTTGGAGGTGCGTGCGTGGGTTTAATCAGAGCCGTTGGATTGGATTGCTGAACCCTCCCCCCAGCTGTAAGTCAGCATTTCCGTCAAAAAGAGAGTGCCCCAACTTGCCCGCCCCTTTTCTTTTCTTTTTTCCTTGCCAAAATATACTCACTCATTGCCTAAATATTTGCCATACTTGTACTTTCAAGGTAAAATACTAAGTTTTTTTAATTCATTTTATTTACATATTGGTATAGAAATAAAAAAAATTTACATATCAAAACTACATGAAAAGTTCTTTGAAATAAGAGGTGTCAAGAATATTTTTATTTTATCAAATAACCAATGAAAACGTAGAAATAAATAAAAGTTCTCGCGCCTGTTGAAAAAGCAAACGTTACAAATAATTTGGGACGGAGGGAGTATACCAAGTAAAATAGAAGTAATATAAGTGAAATAAAGTAAAACTATAAAGCCATTCAATTCAATGATTCATCACTCCCATGAATCCAATAACCAAAGGCGGCGTTACTATTTACCAAACCATTCTGAGCTTGATATTTAGGGAGTATAGTATATGAATTTCTATATACGGAGTATGATTTTAAATTATGGAGTATGGATTTTTATTTAAAATTTTAAAATAGCCAAATATTATGTTAAAAGTTATGAATTTTTGTACATATTTTTAGACTCGCACCGTTGATTTTTTTGTGAATTGGATGATTTGTGTTAATTTAGAAAACCTTGTGGATTCTTAATTATATGAATATATAGATTTTTAGATGGTGTGGTATGAGAAACAAAAGCACACTCTTTCCATCTTGCTCGTCCACTTTATATACTTTTTGCACATAGGATAAGAAGAAAGAAATAAATTGGAGAAATGATATGATGCCTTTGCTTAAGGAAATTATATTTGTACTCCATAATGCAATATTCGTGTAAGAGGTGTGAATTATACTCCATCCGTCCTAAAAACTTTTTCCCCTTTCATTTTTTTATTTTTCCAACAAAATTCTTCCTCTTTTTATTAAAAAAATACTTTTACCCACACTAATTCTTAACATAAATATCACATCATATCTTTTTACTAATAATAATCTACGTATCACATAATACTTTAATTCATCACATCAAGGGTATTTTTGAAAAGTTAACACAAAAATATCACTACCTTAAATTTCTTAAAAGTTAAAAGGGTAACATCTTTTGGGATGGAAGACTATATCTTTTGAGTGTCAATAGCAAATATCGAGTATTCAAGTGCAAATATCATTGCTATTTGCCTGTTGGACATAATTCGATGAGGAGTAATAAGTGTAATATACATGGGGAAAATGGTAAATAATTCTTTATTCACTTTCCATATAAACTTATAAAGAATGTGAGGGTCATAACATTCACCATGGAAAGGTAACAAAATGTAAAATGGTGCATTTTGATTATTTATTATCCTTTGATGGTACTAACTGTAATTGACCCAAAATGTGAATAATACATTGGAGACAAATGCCTTATTTGAAAGTTGATTGTCGCTTGTTGGCTGTTTATGTCAGCTGTTCTAAATGGGGAGCTGTTCTAAATGGATTGTTCTAAATGGATGTTAAGTTTAAATTGCTTGCCGGCTAGATGTGTTCATTGATTGTCATTTCCTTTATTTTGTTTTTTAAATTTTAATTTTTAAATTTTATTTTTAATTTTTTAACTTTATTTTTATGTTTTTTGCATATATTGTTGGATATCTTTCAAGAAAAATGATTTTAGAAAAATAAATTTTCTAACAGGCAAGTCCAAAATATACTCCCTTGACTTTTTAATTTAGATTTTAACTTTTATCAAACAATTGAGTAAAAAAGTTATAAGTCAAATATTGGTTTTGGGTTAAGTCAAAAACTAATTCCCAAAATATACGGAGTAAATGATAATTAAAACCTTTCGTGCATGTAGCTAAATCCCCTATACCCTCTCTTATCTCGCTAGATAAAAACTCCGTATATAATCAACTTAGTTAACTGTGCCAAATGCCAATACTTACAATACTCTAATGCTATAAGACCAATTCAAGAGCTCTGAGGGGACTTGCCGAGGTTTGATCGGGTGTAAATAAGTATGATGTAAAATGACAAATATATGTGTGTTATGGTCGGTGAAACGAAGAACAGTGAGGTGTGAATATATGTTAAATTCTGATTGATTAAAAAAATTTAAAAAAGATTATAGAGGAAGAAGCCGTGAATGATGGTGATCACATCAAATGTGGCAACGCCCCTTTCACTGTGTGCATGTATTGGATGAGGGACGTGATGGAGGGTGATCAAGTCCTCCTCACGCCCCATAAAGCCATGTGTTATGGGAGACTTGACAGAATGTAAGATGTATGTGGAGTGATGAAAAATATGTGTTATAGGTGAATGTGTACTAGATTTTGATTGGTTGAAGTAAAAAAAGTTGGGGCAACAGTAAGATGACCATCACGCAGGAAGGGGACACACCCTCCTCATGGAACTCCGTAATGGTGATGGGTGTGTATGGGACGTGAAGGAGGAAGTCGATCAAGTCCTAGCTAACACATGGCCTAAGAACTGATATCACTCTTTATAGAGTTGTGCTTGGGTAACTCTAAAACATCTTAGAATTACTATAAACCTAATATTTGCATATATACGCACAAATGATTATTATATGTGTATGTCTCAACAAAATTTGGTGTCATGATAACCTCAAAATCTTGGATTATCCTAGTTTTAATTTATTCTTATTTGTTACTCCGTATATTAAGATTATATTTTAGTTTATCTTTTCTTATACAACAATAGTAGATTTGACCCAGGGAGGATGAGATTTATCATTTTTTTATTATTATTACCACAAAAAGAATCTTAGGTGGGGTTTGAAAACAAAAAAATATCATTTGATTCTTGGATTTTAATTTTAAATTTGAATAATTAGATTTGAAATTACAAAGGAAAATGTATATATGATTTGTAAAGTAATTGAACCTATTGGAAATGAGAGAATTTGTTCTAAATTCAAATCTTGATTTTTTTTTGCATTCACGAATATTTTTTTCATCCAAATGTATTTGTCTAGTTTGACGTTTGTGAGTCAAAATAGACAAACTTTAATGCTAAACTTCTCTCAACTTGTATTGTCTATTAATACATTGAGAAAAATTAAAATTTCTAAACAATTTAAATCTTAAGAAATCATTTTATATCAACTTATATTATACTCCCTCCGTCCACAAAAAAACTTCCCACTTTCCTTTTTCGTCCGTCCACAAATAAACTTCTCATTTCCTTTTTTGGAAAGTTTTTAATACTAAAAAGACTTAATTACCCTTCATTCACTCTCTCCCCTTATCTTTTTTCTCCATTCTCTCTCTCCCTTATCTTTTTTTTCTTCACCCAACCACACCTTTTTCTTCTTCTCCGTTCTTATCCTCTTTTCTTCACTTCTCTTTCTTTTCTCTTTTCTTCTTCATCTTCTTTCTCTTCTACTTCTCCGTTCTTCTTCATCTTCTTTCTTTTTTCTTTTCTTCTTCTTCTTCTTCCTTTTCTCTTTTCTTCTTCTTCTTCTTCTTCTTCTTCTTCTTC